GCGGGAATCGAACTCATGCGGAAGCGGCTTTAGCTTCTCAGTGCAGTGCTTTAACCCACTGCACCACTAGGGAGGGCCCAATAAATAGAATCTTTTAAAAAAAATTAATGCTAAAATTAAAATGGCATCCTCTTAAAAGTTTTTTATTTTTATTTTTGACTATAGTAGTAATACATGGTCGTGTAGAAACATGAAAGATATTGAAAGTCATATAACTTGTTCAAGAATATTTTGAGATTTTCAGAAAACTATCATTTTGTAACTCCTATGCCCAATATTTTTTATTTCTAATTTAGCAAGAAAGTGAAATTGGAAAGAAATGTGAAATCAAGACAGAATCATTATGGTCAACTAAAGAAGAATTATCTGTGAGAAAATTTTTATTCATTTAATATTTACAAAGATTTCCACATTTTGTTATTACATTCTTAGGATTAACAATGTTTATATTTTTGGTCTGTTCCACTAATTATGCCTCTCTTAGTAGATAAATCATAATTGTGATGATAATAAGAGTATAGAGAGAAACCTAAGTATAATTCTCTGCTCTCCTGCACTCCATAGATGAATATGTAATAATTGTTTCTAATGTTACAGAGGACTTGAATAATTTTCTAGTTTTCAAATAGATGTAATTTGATTCCAAATATGAAGTTAAGGTACTAGAAATTGATCTTTTTAACTGTTTTTTCAAGTATTTGAATTTCTTTCCATAGATCCCTAATGACAAGTAATTTTCTTATTTCTTCTTATCTGTTCATCTTATCCACTTTTAAGAATAATGACAAACTTCAGGAGGATGATGAGATGCTTCCAAAGAACGTGTTACTGACTGAATTTAGGTCTCTGGTGGTTAGTAACTCTAGTTCCAGAAGTGTATCTAGTATAAACAGTGATTATGGTCAACCGAAGAATTTTAAGAAATTCAAAAAGGTAGGTATTGCTTTTACTGAAATATCACAAGAGGGCAGTATGTGGAGTGTTCTTAGAAAACCTAGTGTTAAATAGTAATAAAAGCAGTTGATGTTGAAAACTGTGCTATCTCTTCTGCTTAAGACCAGTTTAAAAATTATTCCAGGAAGGACATGAGGACAGTTAACGATGACATGGAACACTTGGGATGAAAGAATGTTCATTAAAACTGAATTTTTGAAGGATGCTATTATTTACCTGGTTTCCTCAGTTTAAGCTGCAGGCTTTTGCTTGGACTAACAGTGTGTTCCCAGTTCTAATGTTGATCTGTGACTGTCCAAATGGTTCTTGAACTTAGGACTTCTATGAAGAGAGCAGATTAGTATAACCAGACATACTCAATAATTGAAACTATATGCATTATATTATATCATGTATATATGCATGTGTGTGTGTGTGTGTATGTAGGTATGTATGTATTTATGTATGTCAAATCTGAGTTCCCCCTCATTAAGGAACTGATATTTGTCAGTGGGATCCAGTCTTTGTTTTTTATTATCTGTTTTGGAATATTTGCTTCTTGCTCTAGACCTGAACTAACTGCTATAAATTTTGCTTATGTATTTGATTGGTGTATAGAATTTTTTATAAACGTGATTTCTGTGGAAGATTGTTTCTCTCTAGAACATGATCTGTGTGATTTTTGCTCTAACTATGAGGTGTTAATGGCCTTTTCTCTTAAATGTAGGCATTTACTGTTAACTTTTCTCACTTAAATTACTTGTTTTTTCTCTACTGTGATAGTGTCTCAAGGGTGTTTTAAACTTCCCTTACAGGAAGAATCTCTCTTCTAAGAATAGAAAAAGGAAATATCTGCCACTTAAACATAGCACTTACTCATATAGCATACTGGTTCCTTCATGTTCAATATCATGTTACCAAAGCTCATTGTTAAAGTCAGTATTCAAAAGACATCCTTTTTTTCATTAATGAAGTTATCAGAAATGGTAAAGAAATATAATACAAACTTTTTGAAACCCTTAAAATGTTGATATCACCAGTCAATTTTTTAGGCCATAAAAGAAATTCAAATCAAAATATGTCTGAAAAACGTTTACTTGAATTAACTCTAATTGAAGAATTTGATTTTTCTTTATTAATATCCAAATCATTGACAGTGACTCTATATTTGTTCTTTTAAGATGCTGATGAATCTAATTTAAAATTCTTTTTTAATTTCATATACGAAAGTTTTTAAAAGTATATCATAAATATTAATGTTATTACACTAAATATAGCATTAGCAGTTTGCTTTGTATGCATTTTTACATAGCATTTTAGCAATTTATTTACAAATAAAATTTTAATTAATATAAACCTATGTTATTTCATAAACATTTTGCAAAAAAATTTAATTAAAACATATAAACTATTGCCATCTCTCATATCTGTTGTTAGGGATCTGTAAACTGGAAAGTTTTGAAGACTTTAAGTTTTATGAATACATATGAAGAGCTTAAACTTCGAAATCCTTAAAACAATATACTTATGTATGTGTGCTGTTTTATTTGCTATATGATGTGCTAAGACCAATTTTTACTAAAAACTCCAAATTAAAAATAAATCCTGAGTTCTTTTTTGTACATGAATCCCAGTGCAATTTCTAAATCAAATTATAGTAATAGCTAACAAAATTTAGGGTAAAAACAGAATAGTTTTCACTCTCAGTAGCTACAACTTGAATTACATATGGAACAGGGAAGGCACATCCAGGACCAAAGCCAGCTCTCAGCCTTACAAGCCTCTTGTCCTAAGTTCATTTACTAAGGAGAAGATAAGCTTGCATAAGAGGAAGCTCAGAGTGTTAAATAGAAGAAATAAATAATAGATTAGGGTAGAACCTTTATGAATCCAGCATAGAGTTACCTCTGTCCCTCTCATTGGTCAAAAATAAACTTCTTTGGCACTTACTTATACATGATTTATAATCTTTGCTTTTTTTAAAAAAATGGTTATGTTAATTTGTTAATAAATTATACCTTACTATTTTTATATGGTTATCTTATAATAGGTCACATTTCCTGGAGCAGGAAAACTTCCACACATCATTGGAGGATCAGATCTAATAGCTCATAATACTCGGAGGAATGCGGAATTAGAAGACTGGTTAAGGCAGGAAATGGAGGTCAGTAGAAAGGGAGCCCAGGTAACTTTTCTGATTTGTATTTTGTGTTTCCCTACATGCAGATTCTTCATAAAATCAAATTCAAGTGATTTAAGATTATTCATTGAGGAAAGTTCCTAAATTACGAAGCATTAAGATTAATTTGTAACTTTCCATAACACTTCTTTAAGGGACTTCTAAATTTGTTTGTTAGAAAAACAGGACTTAAGCAAATTAAGTTTACATCTACAGAAAGAAGAAAAACAAACCTATAAAAGTTTAAAGGGAAACTGATTAAAAGAAGCTATTAAAAACATATCAACTAAATAGTATGTGAATGGATTTTCTAAAACTCCCTGAGAATTGTCTTTCGGCATTTCTTAGAGTATCTTACTCATTATTTTCTTGAATATTATCCTTTTCTTACGTTCTCTGCTCTCTGCCTTACCTCCCATTTGATAATCAGCTTGTTTTCTTTTCCACATTGCCTTTTAGTGCTCTGTCTGGTTGGCATTCTACTCATCCATTGAGTTTTAATTCAACCAAGTGTACCTTTTTTATTTCTGAAAGGTTGTTCATTCTTTTCAAAATCCTTTGTTCCCTGCTAATGTTTTTCAGTTCTTTTTTTTTTTTATTCTTTGTCTAATAATACCAGTATCTAAAAAAGTCCTTTTCAATTTGTTTTTTTTCATTTCCTCTTATGGTACCTTAATGATCTTTGAATGTATATTGCCCCTTTTCCTTAGAACTTCATCTATGGAAAATCCTTGAGTCCTTAGTTCAGATTTATTTCCTCCAGATAATGTATGTTTATCTCTGCTAATTTTGTCCTACCAATATGACATCACTTTAATTTCATCTTGTGATTTTTTTTTAATTCTGTTATCATAAAGTAGTTAATATATATTGGATTAGAAACCTGAGTGAGAACCAGCATGGCATTGTAACTTTGAGATTTTTAATCTCTTTCCTTTATCCTGTGCCAGAGTCAAAATAAGCAGACTTCTTTGCTTTCTTTTTTTGTGTCGTGGGGTTTAGTGCTGGGGTATTTTATTAGATTCCTCATCTTAGATTTTCTTTCATATCATCCATCCCCCATGCAGACATCAAAGCAGAATCTAGGTTTTTTACTGTTCTCAGATACCCACAGGGCAGGGCAAAAGATGGTAGTGGTAGACGGTAACTTCTCAGGAATCTTTCTTTTGCTTTATTTATAGTGCTAATGTAGTCTTCAGCAATTATTTTTTAGATTACTTTTTGATTCCAAAAATTGTTAGAAATGCCATTCAAAAAAGTAGTTGTTAGAAAATTCCTTTGAGATGCAGTTCCCCAAAGCCTTGAAAAAATGCCATTTACAAGACTTTCTATTTCTCAATATTATTTTATTTAATGTTTTTTTCTTTGCTATTTTTTCCTTGTTATCTTTGAACCTGAAAATTAGCATGCCCTGCCTGGAAGCATCTAACAATATCAAGCAGTTTTTTTGACAGTTGGTGTATGAAATCATGTGTGTTATACCTTTTAAGAAATAAAAGAAATTGATATAGCATCATTTTGACATTCACTATATGAATTTGAATATCTACAAGTTATTCTTCTAAGCCCTTCCAACGACTTAAGTGGTGGGATATCCAGCTAATAACTGGTGCTCTTATTCAGCTAGATCCAGTCAAATCCTAGTTCTTCTAGCTTTTGATCTTCTGCCAGTTACTTAACCTAAGTCTCTGTTCACTTATTGGTTAAAATTAGGATAGGGGCCCTCCCTGGTGGCTCAGCGGGTTAAAGCACAGCACTGAGAATCTAAAGCTGCTTCCGCATGAGTTCAATTCCCGCCAGCCCCGTAGGTGACCACATGGTGTGGCAGACCTCTCCTGACCCGCCCGCTGCTCCCCTCAGCAGTGTACTTTGACCATCTGCCTGTTCTGTTACCCACTCTGTCTCTGGTGAAGCCTCTCACCGCCCCTGAGCCTCTGGCCTGTACCCCAGTTCTGTATGCACAAATAAATAAAATCTTTAAAAAAAAAAAAAATTAGGATAGGACTTTAGTAATAGTAGTGAAATTACATGAAGATTAAATGATATTTTTTAAAAACCATTTAAAATAGTATCTTGAAGTTCACAAATGTAAATTAATTATTAATAAAAGTAGAATATATACAGTTAAGGAATTCAGTCTTTAGTGAGGATGTAGAAGTCACTAATTATTTCCAATAGTTATATATCCTAAGTCTTGTGGGAATTTTTTTTTTTTAAAGATTTATTTATTTATTCATGCAGAACTGGGGTACAGGCTGGAGATGTGGAGGGTGAGAGGATTCACCAGCGACAGAGTGGGGAGCAGAAAAGGCAGATCAACGAAGTACATTGCTGAGGGGAGCAGTAGGCGGGTTAGGAGAGGTCTGCTTCACCATGTGGATCTCCTCCGGGCAGGCGGGGATCGAACTCATGCGGAAGTGGCTTAAGCTTCTCAGTGCAGTGCTTTAACCCGCTGCGCCACCAGGGAGGGCCCAGGAATTTTTAATATACTTTTCTTTAAAATAAAGAGGGTCAGAAAACTTTGTTAAAGATGTCAACGACATTTTCCTTGATGCATTGTAAATACAAAAAATTGCTGGGTGAATCTGCCTTTGAAAGATAATCAGATGTAGGAAATAAAGAAAAAAGGAGATAACTTTATGGGCCAGGTAAGAAAGTAGAATGGAATCAGAGTATGAAGAGATTAGTTTTGCATTTTAAGGGTCAGATGCAAGAGTGTGTGTGTGTTTGGTTTTTTTTTTTTTTTTTTTTTTTTTTTTTGGTGTATGGGAGAAGTCACTAAAGGGTATTGAATAGCAAGGTCATTGCTGGACTTCAAGGATACACACCCCCAAAGAGGGGTTTTCTTGGTCTTAACTCTCAAAGATGCTATAGGAGTTTGGTTAGTTTGTATTTAAAATTACTTCGTGGGTGAGGTCATTTAACAAGAGCTTCTGGGCCATAATTTAGGACTGTGAAGAACCACTTCAGATTGCCCCCAACCCCTTCAGCTGTGGTCTGAGCTCTCAAAGCTTTGGAATTTCATTTAGAAAAAAAGGCTCTGTATGCAAAAGAATGTTTGAAAAAACTCAGCAGTCCAGAAATGTTTAAGTTGTTTGACTTTGAGAGGGTAGTGGCTGGTTTAGAGCGCTTTTGCAATAATATTGGCTTGAAGTGAAATGGAAAAGCTATCTTGAGTAGGTGAAGTTTCATAAAGGTAAAAACTCATAGACATGGAAATCTCAAAAATGACTGTGACTACCATGTATATGGGGCTTTAACTTATCTATTCGTCATTGAGAAATATTTGAAATTATGTTAATTTTGACAGGTGCAAAATCAACATGCAAAAGAAGAGTCTCTTGCTGATGATCTCTTTAGGTAAAGTTTAATTTCAGCTTTTTCTAAATTTTTGAGAGCTGTATATGAAATTCAGTTCTATTCATAAAGATTCATAAAAAGTGAATATTTTCTTCTGTGATTAGAACTAAACATAGTTCCTTCACCTAGAGATGTTTTGTTTTTAATATATGTCTGTTTTACTATCTGAACATCTCTTAATTGGGTTTGCTGGATATAGCGCTAAGGTTTGGAATGGATTTAATTGGACTGTATTTAAAGTTTATATGAGGCATTCATATTAAACATGTTCCTGAGCTTGGTAAATTCACCTTATTTGTGAGTTTTAGAGTTTAGAGTTATGCAGGGTTTTAGCCTTGCACAGAATTATGAATGAATGGTTTTTAAGTAAAATGCCAGACCATTTGTTTTCATTGGCACATCCTTAAAAACAGGAAGCCTGGTTAAAGATTCAAAGCAGCCTTTTGTGAGAGGTTTAGAGGAGTTACATTGAATGATTAAAATTTAATTTTGATTTCCATATTTTCCACATCAAACATAATATCTTTATATTCTAGATCCAGCAAACCTTATAATAATCTCATATTCTCATAAAACACTATATTATAGGTAGGTTATGGCTAGGGGAGAATAACATTTTCCCAAAGTTAAAGGCAGCACCAAGAAGTACTATATTATTTGAGTGTCTTTTATAGTCAGTTGTTCATTCTCTAACTTGATTGTTGACTACTTGAATCAATGGTAAAAGTGTTGACAAATGGCACTGAATTTTTGTAAGCATTCAAGTGAGAATATGTGGTTGCCGGGCTATGTTTAATTGCTGTAAGAGATAATTTTGTAAAAGTAGTTACATTTTAATTTTATTATGCTCTTGTGCAAATGGTATATTTTAATTTTTTAAGTCCATATTCGAGAATAAAACAAACATACTTCATTTTGAATTATTGCTTTTCTTTATTATTTAATGTTTGACAGGGTTTATTTTGTTGCTGGTTATTTTCCATAATACTCATGAAAGTAACATAAAAAAGATAAGTGGAAGTAAAAATGTTCAGTGCCTAATATCTAACCCTAAAGATAAAATTGACATTCTCATTCTTTTTCGCCAAGTGTGACTATATTTTGAAAACCCTTTAACATACAAAGGGAAAAAGAAACTCTCATCATTTATCTTTATATCATTTAAGCCTATTTCTTACTTTGCAGATATAATCCTAATGTGAAAAGAAGAAGATAACTGAAGATTTCATAAAAAAGCCATCTATAACATTTCTTACCATACACTTCCAAGTTTTTCCTGGGATTACATGCATAGAAGGATAGAATATTGAAGTTACAAATATTTTGTAGCCTAAATTTTTAAATAAAATGTACAAAACTCCATCCTTTGGTTTGCAGGTTACTTTTTCTGTTTTCAAGTCTCTGTCATCACACCTCTAGAGTTTTGTTTTTTTTTTCTATTTTTAAATGTTTTTATTTACAACTAATACAATCACAGCTCAAAATAGCCTTACTTACTTCCCCATCATGAAATACATGAGGGGATTCATGATATTCTTACTAATAACTCATTTCTTAATAGTCTTTCTAAGGTTTTTAATGACTTTAAATTTGTTTGCATATAATTTTACAGTAAGTTCCTACAAAAATGATAATGTAACATTTGCACTTTTCTGCACTTCCACACTTTTTCACAGAATGAAATCAGTAGATCATAGACATACAAGAAAATAAGTATTTTTATCTTTTTATGCTATAGTATTCAAACACCTGAAGTGACTCAAATGAACTGGAATCCATTAGTAAAAATTTCACTCACATATTTATTCTAGTACTGGAAACTGAAAACAATGTGGACTGCTCTATCAAGTTTGTAGATAGTTCTCGCTAAAATGGGAAAACCTGTTTGGTGATGTTTGTGAGATAGATGTTCCTTTATTTTGAGCTTCTTTGATTCTGTTGTCCCATTTGTAAAGAGAAATAGAATAATTAAGATTGTCTTCATTTTTTTACTTTAAAGAGAGATGGTAAGAAATTTTGTTAATGTATTCAACTTTGTTGTACATTTGAATTATGGTGAGATCTTTTTATCAACTTAAGGACTGCAGCTTGCTTGTAGTGTTGCGTCCTAACCCATTGAGCCACCAGGGTGGGCCAGCAGCTTTTTGTTTTTTCCTTCACACATTTTTTATTTCATTATTGTAAGGGTAGAAATGCCAGCTCCACAACAGAAATCAGTAAAATGTATTCGTCACTACTTAAAGATGTAAAAAAGATTCATTCAGGGAAAGCCTGAGGGTGAGATAAGCATTTCTGTCTGCAGTCTTTTTTGAGCCCTCAGTGATTGCCACAATGAACTCTAAGTCAGTTTAAAATTGTCTACCTCTCCTATAGGCCTCTTCACAAAAACTTCTGTTGGCTCTCAGAGTTTAGGGCTTGGGGAGCCTTCCTCAGAAGTCTTACAAGTTGTGGCTCTAAGTTAGATCTAAATCCTCCACTCTTCAGAGAGTATTTGGGAATTCCCTCTGGGTGTTTCTTTACTGAAGCTGTTAATTATGGAGTGTGTCTCAGTGTATGCTACTCTTTTCAAAGAGAGGCTTTTGTTTTGCTTTTCTCAGTTACCCATTGTTTAGGATGTGTTTGGATAGTGTCTAGATTTTTATTTTCAGAGGGAATTTTTCCATGTCAATCTGTAGATTTGTAATGGGGTGGTCCCCAGGTAAAGGGGAAGCCCCAGGTTCCCTGCTGCACCCAAAGGAGGGGGGAGCAGAGCAGGGAGGAGAAGAATCTGGAGAGGAGAACGAAGAAGGAAGCAGGATGGAGAGACAGAAGTTGACCTGAGGGAGCCACATGGAACAAAGAGACGTGTGAAGAAGCAGCTCTCATTTCTTGGTCCTGGACTGGTTGAAACAGATGTGGTGAGAGACCCATGGGGAGGTTTAACTGTGGTAGCATTGTCTTGATTTTGATTTTGCCCTTCCTCCCAGACTTGTCCTGCTATTTCTGACCCTTTTTCATGGATCCCTGCCAGAGGGTGCTTTAGCCTTGTGTTGGGTTTTCAGGCCTTGGGTGTTTGATTTAGAAACTGTATTCCTTGTCTTTTCTGTATTGCTCACTAACTGTATTAAAGTTCCTTTCCTTTAAAGGTCTTACATGATTTGTCTTGATGTGGTGGATGGCAGAACCTATTTAGAGCGGGCAGGTTTGGAGTTTAGGTTGCCCCTCTCCCTGTCCTGTAACAGATTCAGTGTGTTGATTGGAGGAAGGGAATACAGGCACCTCTTAGATTGCAATCTTCGATCAGAACTTTGTTTCTTGTTACTGGAAAACAAGCAATTAGCAGCAAATACGTTTAAAAGTAGTATGTCTTTTGTTTCATTAAAACTTTTGTTATTAAATACCCCTTTATCTCTAGTAATATTTCTTATCTTTAAATCTCCTTTTTTAAAATTACCATTCTTTTTCTAGCCTTTTGTAACAGGGTGGTTCCTGGGAAAAGGGGAAACCCCAGCTTCCCTGTCCCACCTAAGGGAGGGTGGAGCTGTGCAAGGAGGAGAAGATGGAGAGGAGATTGAGGATGGAAGGAAGGAAAAATGGGGAGCAAGAAAGAGAACTGAGGGGCGCCCATGGCACAGAGCACTTGCTTACCCTGCTCTGTAATACTTTTGCTTACAACTGATTAATACCGTTGATTTTCAGGAATCTCTTGTAAACAAAATATTGTTGAAGCTTGTTTTTCATTCAGTATGATCATATATGCTGTTAAATTGGTGTTTAATCAATTTACATGGTGTATAATTGTTGGAATGACTGGTCTGAAGTCTTACATCATGCTTATCTTTTTTCCTCATCTGTTGACTCTCCCCTCCTCCTTCTTTGGGATTAATTAATACTATTTTTTAGTATTCCATTGTATTCCTTTGTTGCCTTTTTAATTACACCTTTTATGTTTATATAGTACTTGCTGTAAGGATGAAAATTGTTATTGTTATTGTTTCTGTCTTAATAACATGCTACTTGTATACTTCACCACTTTTGTGCTATAATTATACATATGTACTTATATATGGTCTATATCTTGTCTTTTCAATTTTATTTTAAATAGTTTCTGGTTAAACACTGTTATAAACCTTTCAATAGTCAAATGGCTTTTTTTTTTTTAAGATTTATTTATTTATGCATAGAAATACTGGGGTATAGGCCAGAGGTGCAGAGGATGAGAGAATTCACCAGAGACAGAGTGGGGCACAGGTGATCTACTGAGGGATGGAGCGGGAGAGACAGGATAGATCTACTATGCAGTATTTGGGTTAGCTCCCTGGTTAGGGAGCCAACTCAGGCCAGGGCAGTGATAGCTCTTGAGACTTAACTACATGGTCACCAGGGAGGCCCTCAGTGGCTTTTAAATAAGGAATTAGAAAATCATTTCTAGCACTCATTTTTCTTTCATGTGGATGTACGTTTTCATCAGATATTATGTACCTTCAAAGTGTGAACAACTACTGTTAACACGTTAACATTTCTTGCATTGCAGGTACTTTTGGAAATGAATTTTCTAAGAAAATGTATTTTATTTTACCTTGATTTTAAATATTTTTTTTCACTAGACAGAGTTTTAAAGTTATTTTTCTTTGCCTATTAAAAGACAATGTCCACTGGCTTGAGTGCATTCTCTGGTCAGTTGTTCATATCATTGTTCACTGTTAATGTGTCCATTTTCCTTTTAAAAAATATTTATGCATATAGAAATTGGGTATAGTCCAGAGATGCAGGGGTAGTGAGAGGATTTACCAGAGACAGAGTGGGGAGAACAGGCAGATTGATGAAGAACACTGCCTAGGGGAGCAGCAGGCTAGACAGGAGAGGTCTGCTGTGCCATTTGGGTCATCTCCCTGTCCAGGATAGAACTCATACTGGAAGTAGCTAGCTTTGTAGTGCCGTGCTTTAACCCGTTGCACCACCAAGGGAGCGCCCCCCATTTTTCTTCTAATTTAGAATTTTCTCATTTTTGTTCAGCTGCTTTCAATGGGGCTTTGATGTGGTTTCTTTTTTATCTATCTTGTTTGCAAGCTAATTCTTAGATCTGTGGTTACCTTTTATTTTTTAAATCAAATTTGAGTATTTTCAGCATCTCCAAATATACTTTTCTGTTGCAGTTTCTCTCTCCATCTGGCTTCAAGCTATTCATGTTCGACCATTTGTTACCTATCCTCTGCCATTTTTTTCAAAGTGGTTTCAATTTGTCCTTTTAATAGTCTCTATTAACCTGTCCCTAATTTTATCGATCTTTTCTCTGGCAATGTGCTGAATATAGTTAAGCTGAATGCATTTTCATCTGTAGATTGTTCATTTTTCATTTTTTTCTGAGGTTCTCATCCTGTATATACCTTTAGAAATTATTCATCAGCAGCTTATGATATCTGCTAGTACTCACTTTATAATTGAAGAAATTTGAGAACCATCTAGCAAGTTTCACATTCTGTTACTCTGCACTCCTTTAACACCCAATTCAGCAAATTCTAACAGGAACCAGAACCCTAAATTATGTTTTCTTCCACATAGAGATGACTCCACTTACTGTTTTAGGAAATTATCCTCAGACCCAATGTTGAGAGGAGGTCTCAACTATTGTTTCTTCTCTTGAATATCTTAAATGGGCTGTTGTCTACTGTGTAAAAAAATTGCCTTATATGTTTAATAGTTGATTACAGTGAAGGTTATGTCTAATTCCTATTATTCCATCCCAACGGATACCAGGAGGCTATCATTTAAAACTTAATGTTGGAGCTTTTTAGTTTATAGTCTATCACTTTTTTGCCTCGCTCATTTCCAAACGTGTGTGTGTGTGTGTGTGTGTGTAGAAGAACTGGGGTATAGGAAAGAGGTGCTGGGGTGAGAGAATTTACCAGAGATAGGAAAAGTAAACAGGATTTACTGAAATTCATTGTTAAAGGGAGCAGAGAAATGAGAGGTCTGCTAAACCATTTGAGTTAACTCCCTGACTAGGGATAGAACTCAAGCCATAGTACTGAGTATGCTGAGACATTAAGCCAAGAGGGCAGTCCTCTTCACTCCTTTATTATTGAGGTGGAGGACAAAGGGATGGAGGCATTTGAAATCAAGAGTATCTATTTCTCAGGCTACTTTTTTTCAAATCAGCCTTAGGCACTATAATCCCCTACCCTATTCCCAGGAATTTATCTAAAGACTATGTCCTGCTTTAACTGTAACAGTTTTGTGCAGTCAGTAGCCTTTGTAACAAAGTTAAGCCTCATTCTGGGTACCTCAGTGCTGACCTTGGGACTTAATGGAAATTGCTGTCTTTAAATACCAGAATTTATTTTGAAGAATTTTCACTTTCATAGACTACCTATTTTTAAATCCCTATAACTTTTGAAAATCCTGAAAATATGATTATGTAGAAACATATTGCATGATTAAACTTTATAGCTTAAAAAGTTGAATAAAAATATTCTGCTAACAGAGAGCTATGGCTAAATATTTTATTATATCAATTTTTAAACCCTGGATTCTACTTTCTAAATGTTCTTTCAACAGCTAGACTTTTAACAGATCATGTATGACTGGTCAATTATTTAGAACAACCCTTTTCTTGGAATAGCTGATACCAAATAAATATTTGGAATTCTGAAACATTAACCAGAGAAAAGGCTCTAATATTAAATGCCACATAGGAGTAACTAGAGAAATAGGGGGTTACTAGAGATAAAATTGTCCTATTTAATTAAAACTTGCTTTCGTGTTTGTAAATATTCTTCATCATAAAAATGCTGGGTAATGATGTCAAGTTTTTACCCTTCCCTAGAAAACTACCACATTTTCAATTCAGAAGTGACATAAGGAAAAATATTCAGTCCAACACATTCAGATCTCAAAAGAATGGACAAGCAAGACAATGCTCAAATCAAGTGCAGTCAGAGGATGTTGTACCATTTCAACAAATGTGAAATCAGAGTTACCAGTTAAGAGATTAAAACTGTGTAATTTCTAAAATCAAGCTAAACTTAACCATGACAGTTACCAAGAGTGTAAGAATTAACCAGTTTATCTGAAGCAGCTAGTTGTAGGCATAAGTATATCCTAAACAATTATATTAAGTTGAATTGTGATCCTGAAAGCATTTACCATGGCAGTAAGATGGACAGAATACTGACATTTTAGTTCACTTTTTAATTCTTATATAGAATCAAACTTCAATAAACATTCCAAAGGAAAAATTTTATTAAAAAAAAAAACTGAGAAATTCAACTTGTCTTGGAGAACTTAAGACTTTTGTAAACCCTAAAAAACTGTGGGATTTCTGTGAAAATAGAGCACACCTAAATAAAGACAGAGTATATAAATTCTGTAAGTAACCATAAGATAAGCTACTATGTCATCTCCAATGAACATATGTCAAAATAGCTAATCATCTCAGGAATGGAAAAGACAGGTTTTAACTATTTTTAAATTTAACTTTTAATAAATCTGGCAATAACCAAACAGTATTACATTATTCCCACATTCTATAATTATTACAAATATACCCAAATATTTTAGTTTCAGTGATAGAAATTAACTCAATGTTCACAGAGGGATAAGTAGTTTTCTTTACAACTTAACTGAATTGTAAATAAGATTAAGGTTATGGTGGTTAATACAGAAGAAATTTCAAAAAAAAAAAATCTTGGCAGGTTTCTGGTTGTCTAAAGTGTATGCCAATATTAGACTTTATTAAAAGCTGTCTTAAATTATTGGAAAAATGTTACATATCAAGATTTCAACAATAAAAATATTTTTAAAGACCATTATATTTGGTAATAAATTAGATTCATACAACTGATAAATTCAAAATAAATAAAACCTGAGTTGCAAATGCTTCTCACCCTTACCCCACCCAGCAGATATCCTATATATCCCATTTTCTTTTAGGCCAGTGTATTTCAAGTTTTAATGAACATATATATCTCTTAAGGATTTAATAATAAACAAATTCTGACTCAGTAAGTCTGTTTTGGGCCTGAGAAAACATTTCTAATAAGCTACAAATGAAGCTGATGCTACTGGTCTTTGGAACTCCCTCGAAGTGTCAAGGTGACTCAATTTTATCAGGCACAATTTCTGGCCTATTAAGTGTATGGTTTCATATTTTATAATCAAACATAATAATCAAAATGATCACAAAAAGTCTTGGAATAAAAGGTTTAGTTACATGAGAGCTTAAAGTTATACCAAACCAGCAGTGTGTGACAGTGACAGTTCTGATACATTACAATGTAAATCAGTACACCATGTTCTTGTAACTTTAGAAAATAAAGTTACTACAGCTTGAAGCTCTCGTCCAGTTAATTCAAGTCCAGAAATCTCAAGCTATTACACTGCAAAACCACTATTAGAAAATTTTAATGGTAAACTGTCCATATAAACTGCTTGTGTATTTGCTTTAAGCTACCCCATCACCACCTCCTCTTTCAACAAATAAATGTTTTTTCTTCTGTCTTGTAGCCAAACACCGTGTAACACCCAGGGCCCCTCCCTTTAAAAATCGAACAAAATTGTCTCCAACCAAAGGGCCCAGTGCAAAAAGGTTGGCTTCTTTAACACACTCGTAGGTATATGCATCTATTTCCACAGGATTACCCTTACAGGTGATTGGCTGGCTTGACTCATGGCCCAGGTAACAACCTTGCTCCTTCAGAAAAGACAGATTGGGATGAGAACCTATCAATACTACTGCTGCAGAGAGCTTAAATATTTTTTTCAATCCAGATACACTTTGAAGAATGCATTTCATGTCCGACTTAAAGGAAAGCACATGGTGCTCAGGAAAACTGGTATAATCAGATAAAAGATTTGAGTCTACAGAATATGACTGAGTACACATCATATGATAGACTTTATGGTATTCTGGATAAAGCTTTTTGGGAAGCTGTTTGAAAATTAAGCTCGGATCAGTTACTCTTCTGCGAAACACATGAATCACAGGGATACTATTGTTGTAAGCACAGAGTACTGCATCAGCTGCAGTAAGCCCAGAACCTACAATTAACACTGGATCCACTTTGCCACGCAACTTTCCTTTGTTTATAGCAGCTCCAAATTCAGGCATAGAGTGAAATACAAAAGGAAAATCTTCCCCTTCAATGTCCAGGTGGGCAGGAGAATCCAATGTTCCAGTTGCTAAAGCTACGTTCTCAGCAAAAAGACAGAAAGGAACAGGGGAACCATCCCCTATTCGCTGATAACCCCTGATTTCCCAGTTTCTCTTGATTAATTTTGATTTCTCTATCTGTAAATGCTGTGTTGAAATATCTCTATTTTGTTCATCACTATCATCTTGATCTCTGTAGAGTCTTGATACAGAAGTTATATAAGTGTTATCTCTGAAATTCTTCTGAAGACCCATAACTTTTACATAATGTTTATAGTAGCGAGCTATTTCATCTGGCATAACTCGATCTCCTTTCAGGTTCCTAAAAGGAAAAGAAAAAAATACCCAATGAGAATGATACTCTGGCTTACGTTATTGTTACTTCTCCACCTAGTAAGCTATTACGTTTTTAATTCCTCTGAACTGTCTTAGTCATAAATTATACTAAAACTTTTACAAAGAAAGCAAGCTTTGTTAAAAATACCTTTTAGCTAAAAATATTAATGAATTAGTTTTTATCAGACTAAGTCCCATGAGGGTTGAAACGCTATTTAATGCGTTTTTTTCCATAGTGCCTTGCAGAGTAACTTCAGATTAGGGCTTAATGAAATGAGGGGCTTAAAACATGTATGTCTGATAACTGTACTTACTTCATCATCTATGTCATAACTGTAATCTAAGTTATAACTTAATTACTGTTTGTAACAATACTATTAAGTCTATATTCCATATTGTAACTATTTATTATTCACGTACTAAGTGAGTTATTTAGGCTACAATCAATGAGAGATAAGTTTAATTGTAATGCATCTTAAAGAATATATATACCATGTTGACATATTTAGTTTTTTTATTTTACTAATGACCAAAAATAATTCATATCATAATATTCTGAACAAAACCATCTTACAGCTAAGAAAATAAATATTTCTGTTTCCCTGCTCATGAAAAGATCTATAAATATCATCTGCTCTTTATGAACAGAATACTAGTAAGTCTTCTTTTCAACCTGATCATTAAAGCACCCAAGCCCCGTTAGAGACTAGTGGCAATAAGAAGATATCAAATCATTTCATGTAATTCTTTATAACTTGTAAAATGGAAGCTTATAAAAATGTTTCTTAAAGTTTAATGATTATAACTAAAACTAAGATTGCATTAACTCAATTTTTACAGTAACCTTGTAATAGTTATTACTAGTATTGTGTCCTTTCACAAACTAGGAAATTGGGAGTTAGTTGAAGTTGTAACTAATCAGGGTCACAACATCAGAAGAGAGAAATTCAAATCCTGACAAATCTCTGAAGGTCTGAGTGGTCTTAATACTATTATTCAAAGACAGGAACTAAACTTTATGTTTATTACAAGATTAGTTTTCATGTTTCTTCAATACACTATCTGCCCAATTTACAATGATTAACATTGTAAATAAATTAAATAGTAGATAAATCATAAAGCTTTTTCTTTCTTACCATACCACAAAGGGAAGTATGTTGAGCAACTGTATTTGCTTACTTACATAATCAAGAACTTGTACAAATTGTCTGAATTTGCCACTCTATATAGAATTCCTTTTCAAAAAAAACCCCAAACACTGGAAAGGCTTAATCTCAATTACTCATGTTGGTCTAACTTTGCTCTCTATAAATTTTTCAAGGTAAGGGTAATTTCCATGATTTAATATGGTTTCTATTTTTTAAAAAGATTTATTTATGCATACAAGTCTGAGGTGCAAGAGGTAAGAGGATTCACCACAGAGAGTGGAGAATACAACAGGCAGAATGATCAAAATACACTGCTGAGGGACAGCAGGTGAGACAGAAGAGGTCTGTCTATGCCACGTGGATCATCTCCCTGGCCAGGGGTCAAATTTATGCCTCAATGGATGTATATAGCTTCACAGCACTGTGCTTTAACCCCTTGCACCACCGGGAAGGGCCCAATGTAGTTTCTTCTTTTTAATGTTTT